TGCTGGGGCCACCCAGCCCACTGGCTTCAGTGACCCGGCCTCTGGGACAACCCCTCTGCTGGCCAAAGGGGTCCTGCGGCCCTTGGATGACCTCTGGGGCAGCATCACTAGCTAAGCCAAAATAGAAGGGGGTGGGGCGCTGGGCCCCTCCCTGCCCCGAGTTCCCCAGAGCGCCAGCCAGCTGGCCGCTTACACCCCAGGTAAGGAGCCAGCCACATCCAGAGGGAATGGACAGCCAGAGCAGGACTTTGGGGGGCTGGGGCTGGGAGATGGGGGTGGCTGGTGTAAATTATAATATTTATCTTTCAACCAGCACTTGTGAAGGCCTTGTGTGTGCCAGGGCTGGCTTGGGAGGGCATCCCAAAGAAACAGGCCACTTTCAGCCCTTAGGACCACTGTGTGGCTGGGGCTCCAGTGGAATCCACACATCTGCCAGGGATGGCACTCTAGGGGGCCCCTGAGGCTAGCAGAGAACTTAGGAGAAGGGTGTAGGTCTGCGGGGCCCAAGTAATAAGGGCAGCTCTCATGAGAGGGTGAACTGTAGGGAGAAGGGCTTCAGCAAACCATGCAGATGGAGGACACCGCGAGCGGGCTGCAGCCTGAGCAAAGGTGAGGCGGTGGGACCAGGCAGCCTTGTGTCCCAGCCCCAGGGGAGGAGCTGGGCTGGTAACAGAAAGGGGTTAAGAAGCAGGGGAGGCTGTACAGGCTTGAATGCTGCCTTAGCATGGAAACCCCCGAAGCAGACCGGGAGACAAGGCTTCGAGAACCAACTCCAGGGCAGGGGCACGCATGCCCACCACCACGGTCGACGGTAGCTCAGTCCTGCTGCGGAAGCTGGGGCAGCCAGGTGGGACCCACACCTGCGTCATCCCACCCACGGGGCCAAGGAAGTTTATCCACCACCCCTCCAGGGGCAGTAGTTCCACACCTCCTGCGAAGGCCAGGAGCGAGCTGAGCACAGCGTGAGCCGGTCCTCAGGACAGGAGGTGGTTGGGACACAGAAACTCCACCCACCACTCTCAGGCCTGGGCCTTGCCTCTGAGTCTCTGACCTGGAAGCAGGGCCACGCAGGGGTGTGTGTGTGCGCGCGCACATGCATGCACACAGTCAGGGACACCCACACACGTGCACACGGGTGCGTGTGGCATCAGGCTACCAGGACAGATGACCGTGGTGCTGGGAGCCCGGAAGCGTCTGCTGGGGGAGGGAGGCTCCAGTGGGTGAGGGTTTGGCCGCTCCCGGAGGGGGGAGCCAGGGTGTCCCTGAAGCCAAGTGGGTACCTGCTCTTCCGACTCCCCAGGCATTGTCCTCTTAAGGACACAGTGGGAGGACCAGCTGATCAGAGGAGGCTGTGAGAAGGGGACCAGGGGCCACCAGGATAGAGACAGGCTGACAGCTTCCAGAGCAGCTGGGGGGAACCCCATAAAGAGTCCCCCAAAAGAAGGACCAGAATTGATGGCTGATCTCAAACGGCCACAAAGGAGGCCCATGGAAGGCATCTTTCTCAGTGATGCCTTCCACCCAATGAAGGAGAGTGAGAAAACGAGGCTTTATTTAAACGGTGTCGAGATGTGGGATCAGGGGAGAGTCCAAGGGCACAGGAGCCTGAGAGGGGCTAGGGGACTGTGGGGGGAGTTTATAGGCAAGGGGACCAAGCTGGGGCGGTCCCCCTTTCCTGCTTGTCCTCCTGGCTATTTTTTTAATATTTAGTATTTATTTATTTGAGTCTTATAATGATAATATTTATTATTTATTTATTTATACACAGGGTCTTAGTGGCAGCACTCAGGATCTCTGCTCTTCATTGTGGCATGTGGGATCCTTAGGTGCAGCATGTGGGATCTAGTTCCCTGACCAGGGATTGAACCTGGGCCTCCTGCATTGGGACCTCAAGAGTCTTAGCAACTGGACCACCAGGGAAGTCCCCCTCCTGGCTGTTTTAGCTGATGGGAGCCATTCACACACCTGCTGTGCACTCAGCCCTTTGTGAGGTAGGGGGGCGATTGGCACCCCCAGGACATATGCCGGCAACAGGCTGCAAAGTATAGAGCTGCCAATGCTGGAAGGCCACAGGAAGACATCCAAGCAAGGCTGGCAGTCATTACAGAAGTTGCAGGGGGTCCCCGGGCAGGCAGGGGGCTAGTCCAGATGACCTCAAGATCCCTCTTGTTCAGACACTGTAAAGGGTGGAGGGGCTGCTAGGGCACAGCTGGGAACATCTGGGCTGCAAACAACTGCCAGAGGCAGGTGTGTGGTGTTTAACCCTTCCATGGGCTCCAGAGCTGGGCTCAAGGCAAGCCCTCCAGTGGGGTTTCTGAGGGTCGTTCTGCTCAGAGCGTTGGCTTGTGTGTGGGTGGGAAGGGAGGTCCCTTGGGGCTGTGGGAGGTGTGATGGGCCAGGGGACATGCCATCACCACACCGTGGGAAAGGGCCAGGCAGCTGCAGGGTGGGGGTCACTGCAGGACAGGCCCCTCTATGAAACTGGGAAGAATTTTTCTCCATGCCACACCCAGAGGCTGCAGTTCCCTCCAATTCCCCCCACCTGAGCCCTTTTCTCCTTGAGACCCTCCCTCGCGGGCTCAGATCACCAGTGGAGCAAAAACCACCCTGGGGTTTGGGTTTTCCAGTTCTGGCTCCCCACTTCCCTGAGTGCAACAGCATAGCCCCTGCTTTGGGGTCCCCGGCTTCTCCTCCAGGCCTGTTCAGCCCCCTGCTGCTGCTAATAGGACCCAGAGTGGGACCCCAACAGACACCCCAGAACCCGAAGAGGGCAGAGGGTTGCAGATCAAGGAGGAAGGGAGGTTTTAGAATCCAGACAATAATTAATTGTGGGCATTTGTAGATTGCTTTGCAATCCACAAAATCCTTTATAACATTCACGGAAAATGGAATCAGCCCATTTTCCTGCCGAGAAAACTGCCAAGTGGACTCCTCTGAGATCAAAGTTCTTCTCCAAATCCAGGTCTCCTTCCACCCCGTCAGTTAACTGGAGTCACTGGGCTTGGGTTTAGGGAGGCCAGGACTGATAAAGCAGTTCTGGGAGGAGGGGACAGCGAGGAGGACTGGGGGTTTCAGACTGTCTGATGGGGTAAGTCCCAGGCAAATACCAGCCCGGCCCAGAGATGGCCCACCCGTGTCAGGCTGCTGAGCCCAACTGGGTGACAGCCATGAGGGTTCTCTACATCCAGCAACTCCTTCCCTACCTTCCCAACACCCCGCCCCCCTCCACTCCTTAAAATGAGGCTTAACTGCAAACAGTACAGCCCACATCCACCAGAAGCCTCTGAGGGTCTCCACGCCCAGCCCATGTGAGGCTGCCGCTGGCCTGCAGCTCAGGGGTCCCTCAAGCTCACCTCATGCAGCCCCCCGACTTCAAACTCACCTTCCCACCTTTGGGTCAAACAGAAGGGGTGCTCCCTGCAGTTTTCCATCAGCAGTACCATCAGTGAGTGCTCACCCGGAGCCCCTCTGCTAAGCCCCCCCCACACCGATCTCATCTATCCTTCATACCACCCTATGAGGCAAGATCTGTTATCCCCATTTAACAGGTGGGGGAAGTGACGCCCAGAGAGGTTAACGGATGTGCCTGGGAGCACCCAGCAGTGGCCCAGGTAGATGTGAACCCCGGCCAGCCTCACTCGGCCCCCCTGGTGTTTAAACCCTAAACGGCAGAATTTCTTGTGGAGTCCCCTCCCTGCCCCACTGCTCCTGCCAACCCTCTTCTAAGGAAATTCCCCAGTTTCTCCAGTTTGTGGACAAACAGGGTTCAGAGACGAAGCTAGATGCAGGAGTTTGTGCCTGTAAAGCCATGGGGCTCCCGTGGCCCTCTCCCTGAACCAGCCCACCCTCCCCGAGTCCCTAGCCCTGTCCCGGCTCCATTTCATTTCAGAGCATCACCTCTTATTCTTTTCCTTCCATTTTCCCACACCCCCTGCAGATGCTGCTGGGCAGACTCAGGTCAAGAGAGGCCTGGACCAAGTATATTTCTCAGAGCTCTCGGTGTACTAGAAACACCAATGACCATCATTTGGAAATAATTCCAGGCACCACCTAAGTCCCCAAACAGAAGGCAGGGACACTGTCCCAGCCTGCCCTGGGCAGCGACCCTGAGAGTCCAGACCATAGCTAAGGGGAGGCAGCCGGGAGGGACCAGAAGCTGGAGACCAGAGGATGCCCTCAAGGAAAGGGGTGAAATCTGGGGGGCATGGGGAGAGAGGGTGCCACAGAGTCTTAAAGCAGAAACACCGGCTGGGGAGTGGGCACCAGCCATTCACGTGACTGCGCCTACCAGGCCTCCTGCAGGGGGCTGTAGGGGCACAGAGTGGTCATGGAGAGGAGCCAATCCAGGACTGGGGGCTGATGCTGGGGCTGGGGGGCAAGATGGGGGATCTGGGGAAGCAGCAATTAGACAAGACGCCCAAAAGCCTTGATGAGTTGGGTCCTGGCCTGGCAAGAGCTGAGGAGGAAATGAGTCCAGAGAATTCTTTTGATCCCATGGCTGCCAGGAGCCCAAGGGTAGATGGCAGAGCGGGAGGCAGGAGCAGCCTCTGTTTCGGGTTTCAGGGGGTGTTTTCTGAACCCCACATCAGGGCACATGCTGGTCTGATGAACTCCAGGACAGGTACAACAAGGCCTGTCCTGAGCACAGTGCTCCTGGAGGGGACTGAAGTTGCTCCTTGTTTTGTTCTTTAGAAAACTGGGGGACTTCCCTGGTGGCCCAGTGGTTAAGAATCTGCCTGCCAGTGCAGGGAACATGTGTTCAATTCATGGTCCAGGAAGATTCCATCTGCCGAGGAGCAACTAAGCCTGTGAGCCACAACTACTGAAGCCTGCAACTGCCCTAGAGCCCAGGCTCCTCAACACGAGAAGCCACTGGAGTGAGAAGCCCACACACCGCAACTAGAGAGTAGCCCGCACGCAGCAACGAAGACCCAGCGCAGCCCCAAAACCAAATAAATTAAAAATAAAAAAATTACAGTAAAATACACACAGCATCAAACTTACCATCTCAACCAAGTGTACAATTCAGCATATTAAATACACTCACGATGTTGTAAAACCATTGTCACTATCCAGCTCCAGAACTTTTTCATCTCTCTGATGAAACCCCAGACCCCCCAACTCTCCTTCCCGCCAGCCACCACCACCTGCTTTCTGTCTTGATGATTTACCTGTTCTGGATATTTCATAAAAGTGGAGTTGTGCAGGATCTGTCCTCCTGTGTCTGGCTTCTTTCCCTTGCTTAATGTTCTCAAGGTCTGTCTACATCATTGCGTGATCAGAACTTCATCCCTTTGTAGGGCAGAAGGATGCTGCATCCTACGGGGGCAACATACTTTCTCTAGCCATCCATCAGCTGAAGGATGTCTGGGTTCTTTTCATCTACTCCAACTCATTTGTGAAGAGTGCTGCTACAAACATTCAAGTACAATTTTTTGTTTGAACAGCTGTTTTCCGTTCTTTGGGGTATACGCCCAGGAGTGGAACTGCTGGGTCTTGTGATAAATTTCTGTTTATAATCTACCATAGAACCACCAAGTGTCTTCTACAGCGGCTGTACCAAGATGCAGAGAGGTGAGCCCAGTCTAGACACTGCTCCACTCGTAAGAACTACACCAGCCGACCGTCCCTTGCCTACCAGCCCCTGGCTGATATACCTGTCCTCTCTCTGCAAAGGGAGCCCAGGGAGGGGCAGCTGGCAGCTTCCTCCACTGGCCCTGACACTTCACCCTCACTGGCTGGGGATCTGCTCAGCAGTCAGTTGTCTCTGTTCCCTAAAGTGTTTCTGACAGTTAATTTGTCATTGTAATTACTATTTGTAATCTAATTAAATGTTATATGAATGGATGAAACAGAAATGCACAGACAATCAGGGTTGTTATTTCTTACAAAAATGCGGTTGATGCTTTGAAAGACACAATCTGAATCATACAGAATATCTGACACCTGTCAAGTCAGGTATGGGTGAGACAAATGTCACCCACTGGGTGGGAGGGGACTGTCAAGAGTCTACAAGGTTCTGCTCATCAACCTCTTGGCAAAGGTCCCTTAAGCTCACCCTCCACAAGGCACCCGAAGCTGGGTGTTGGAGATTTGCCATCCCACTGATGTGGAGTTCACGAGGTGCGTGCATACCAAGTCGCTTCATTCATGTCCGACCCTTTGCAACCCCATGGACTGCAGCCCGCCAGGCTCCTCTGTCCAGGGGAGTCTACAGGCAAGAGTACTGGAGTGGGTTACCATCCTCTCCTCCAGGGAATGAGGAAAGTAAGGCTTGGGAATTCCCTGGTGGTCCAGTGGTTAGGACTCAGCACTTTCACTGTCATGGGTATGGGTTCAATCCTTGGTCAGGGAACTAATATCTCAGAAGTCACGAGGCATGACCAAAAAAAAAAAAAACAGAAAAGAAAAGAAAATCTGAATTGTGATCACGACATGTTAAGGATGGGCCTCTGGTCTCCTGGATGTGGTGGTGGCGCTGTCCTTGGAGGTAGGGCCTGAAGGTCAAGAATGGGCAGTGTGGAAGGCCTTGGGGCAGAGATTAGAGCTGCAGTCAAGCAGTCAGGGAGCCGGGCTGACCCCGGGCAGTTCCCAGGACAGGGCAACACCTAAGCGACGTGTGTCTAGAGTGAGAGCTGGATCTGGGGGCTGGGATTAGGGCCTATGGGGTGGGCTTTTCTGAGCCTCACTGTACTCATCCACAAAGTGGATGTATTTGGGTAAGGTTCAGCCAAACTGTGGTGCTGGAGAAGACTCTTGGGAGTCCCTTGGACAGCAAGGAGATCAAACCAGTCAATCTTAAAGGAAATCAACCCTGAATATTCATTGGAAGGACTGGGTGCTAAAGCTGAAGCTCCAATACTTTGGCCACCTGATGCAAAGAGCCAACTCATTGGAAAAGACCCTTGATGCTGGGAAAGATTGAGGGCAGGAGGAGAAGGAGAGAGGGACGACAGAGGATGAGATGGTTGGATGGCACCACTGACTCCATGAACATGAGTTTGAGCAAACTTCAGGAGATACTGAAGGACAGGGAAGGCTGGCGCATTGCAGTCCCTGGGGTCACAAAGAGTCACACACCATTTACCGACTGAACAACAACAAAGCTGCTGTAACAGACCTACAAGAAGCCTGTGGCTTAAGGAAGATAACATACGTTAACAGTCCACGATGAGTATCCCATACTCCATGCAAGCATCCGGGGACCTGGCGCCTTCACTCCCTTTCTCCCCATCTCTTAGGACATTGCCCCTCTCCACAGATGACAGCCTGTCCACGAGCGGCTTGTGAGAAAAAGAAAGAGGAGGGCACGGAGCCCATGGTCTCTGTCCAGGTTCCTGAAGAACTCACCTCATTTCTGCTCGACTCCAATGCGAGAAACGGCCACGTGGCCTTTCCTAAATCCTGGTCGGTCTGGGAACGAAGTTCCGGTCATACGCCTGTGCAAAGCGACATCATCTGAAGGAGGGCTCACAGCCTTGTGCTGGATGGGTGCAGTAATACCCTCTTGCAGGAGGCTGTGACTGCAGAAAAAGTACCTGGCACTCAAGATGAGCTCGATAAAAATGTACAACATCGCGGAGCTCGGGGATCCCAGGGGCCCAGGAAACCGTCTGGTCTAATGTCCTCATTTCTCGAAGTTACAGAAATAGGCAGAGAGGGCCAGGCACCTGCAGGGTCTGTAAAGGGCAAGGTTGGTCCCAAATCCTGTCTGGGATCCTCAAGCCCATCCCCCCCACCTCTTGTTTCAAATGACCTGGTCCAGTTCCTCCTAGGCAGATGACCTCTCCACCTGGAGGCAGGGGTGGGGGACAGGACCCCCAGAGGCTGCCCAGCTTTGTGACTAGGTAGGTGTGGCCCTGGTTTCCTGGACTGTCGGCCAAGCAGCCGCTCTGTGACAGCGGGCCACACCCAGCCCTGGGAGGGGTCAGGGGGCCGCCGGCAGCTGCCACACTGGGACGCAGCGGTAGGTGCCTGCGGAGGATGGCGTGCCTGGGTTTCCGCCTCTTTCTCCTCCTCCTCTTCCTCCTGGCCAGCACCGCGGCCCAGGGGGAGTACGGCGTGGTCCACGTGGTGTCGGACACCTGGAGCAAGGACTACTGCATCCTCTTCCGCTCCGACTACGTCACCCTGCCCCGGGACCTGCAGCACGCCCCGCTCCTGCGCCTGCACGACGGCACGGGCACGCCCTGGTGCCCAGGCCAGGACTCCTCCCACCAGGCCCACCCCGACGGCTCCGCCAGCCAGCGGCCCCTCCACCGGACCACCGCCATGGTCATGAGGGGCAACTGCAGCTTCTACGACAAAGGCTGGCTGGCTCAGGGCCGAGGCGCCCACGGGCTGCTCATCGTGAGCCGGGTCAGCGGCCAACAGTGCTCAGACATCACCCCGGCGGCCCAGAACCCCCACAAGCCCCTCCCAGACCTCACCATCCCCGTGGCCGTGCTCCGCTACACCGACATGCTGGACATCCTCAGCCACACCCACGGAGGCAACGGGGTCCATGTGGCCTTGTACGCCCCCCCGGAGCCCATCCTCGACTACAACATGGTGGTCATCTTCCTCCTGGCCGTGGGCACCGTGGCCATGGGCGGCTACTGGGCCGGCGTGACTGAGGCTGAAAGGCTGCAGCGGCGCCGGGCGCGAGGGGGCGGGGGGCCCGGCGGTCACCCTCCGCAGGGAGCCCTGGCGGCCCGGCGGGGGCCCGAAGACGACGACGAGGACGCGCCGGTGGACTTCACGCCGGCCATGACGGGCGCGGTGGTCACCATGTCCTGCTCCATCATGCTGCTGCTCTATTTCTTCTACGACTGCTTTGTCTACGTCATGATCGCTATCTTCGGGCTGGGCGCGGGCACCGGCCTCTACAGCTGCTTGGTGCCCGTGGTGCGCCACCTGCCCGTGTGGCGGGACCAGCGGCCCCTGCCCGGCCGCCGGGCCCGCCCGCAGCTGCCCCTGCTGCTGCTGGCTGGCCTGTGCCTGGTGGTGACGGCCCTCTGGGTCGCCTACCGGAACGAGGACCGCTGGGCGTGGCTGCTGCAGGACACGCTGGGCGTGGCCTACTGCCTCTTCGTCCTGCGGCGCATGCGCCTGCCCACCCTCCAGAGCTGCGCCTCCTTCCTGCTGGCCCTGCTAGTCTTCGACGTCTTCTTCGTCTTCATCACACCCCTGCTCACCAGGACCGGCGAGAGCATCATGGTTGGGGTGGCCTCGGGCCCGGCAGATTCCGTGAGCCATGAGAGGCTGCCCATGGTCCTCAAGGTGCCCCGGCTGAGCTTCTCGGCCTTGACCCTGTGTGACCAGCCCTTCTCCATCCTCGGCTTCGGTGACATCGTGGTCCCCGGCTTCCTGGTGGCCTACTGTCACCGCTTTGACGTGCAGATGCGCTCGCGGCAGGTCTACTTCGTGGCCTGCACAGCGGCCTACGCTGCAGGCCTGCTGGTCACCTTCTTTGCCATGGCCCTCATGCAGATGGGCCAGCCTGCCCTGCTCTACCTGGTGTCCAGCACCCTGCTCACCAGCCTGGCCGTGGCCGCCTGCCGCCAAGAGCTCGCCCTCTTCTGGACAGGCCAGGTGAGAGCCACAGCCCTCACCTGGCCTGCGCCAGGGCTCTGCAGTGTCCCTTCAGTTGGTTCTGAGCAGAAGCGGGAGCATGCAGCAGACACCCACAGGGCCTGGGAGCTCGAGGGGGCCACCATCTCTACCCTGGCAGGAGACTTAGATAGCAGCCTTGGGGAGGGCACGGCTGAGACTGTCACCATATCTGAGGGTGAAGCCACCAGTCTAGAAGGCCACAGTGACAGCTCTGAGGGTTGGAGCGATGCCAACCTGGAGCCCGGTGACCTGTCGAGTACCCCTTCTGGGGCCTCAGAGGAGCTCTTACCACTGATGCCAACGGCCATGCTGATACCGCTCAGGCCGCCGCCCTCGGGGCTGGGCCACATCCAGGCCCAGGCCCAGGCCCAGGCCCACGAGGCCAGCCTGCCCTGGACTGGCCTTCACAAGAGGAAGAGCCTTAAGGTAAAGAAGAGCATGTCGACCCAAGCTCCCTTGTGAACCAGGAGCCCTGGGACATGTGCCTCTAGACTATCACAGAGCAAAGCCACGTGTGACAAAAATAAATTGGGGCATTAAAGATATTCTGTATCTACCCCATGGAGCCTCTTTGTTAGGACTGTAAGGAAGCAGTGACCATGGAATCAGTTCATGTAGAGCCTGCAGGGTCCTTGGGACAGACCACATCTGACTGTCCCTGCAGCCCAACCCCAGCCTCATTGCCCATCTTTTTCTCTTGCTCACGTCCAATCAAACCATTACTGTTCCTTGATTATGCCACGTCCTCTCCTTGTCTCTTTGCACATGCTGTTTCCTCTAGCTGAGACACCCTTCCCACCCCAGACAGAAATGCTGAAGCCCAGATGAAACATTTCTAAGCAGCCTTCCAGCGTCAGCTCACATCCACCCTTCCTGCTAAGCATTCTTGCTCTATAAGCATCCTGGACAGCAGCATCACACCCAGTGTGTGCCTGCTGTCATCCACCTGTTGCATTCACAGACGTCAAGTATGCAGCTGCTGTGTACCCCACCCTGTTGGTGGGCACAGAGAAAGTGTGCTATCCAGCTGGAGGAAGGGTGGTGGGGGATGGAGAAAAGATAAGAAACAACACTAGAATCATCTCAAAATGGGGATGGAGAGGTTGGAGCCGGAGTGAAAGAATTGAGGAGACCACGGCTCTAGTTCCCACACTTCCTTCACTGACCTTGGATAATAAACCGGTCTCTTAAACCCTTTGGGGCTTAGGAGTCTCATCCTCAACATGAGACTTATAATACCATGTCTATCTGGAGGCAGGAGCATGGACAAGATGACCTCTTGAGGACCCCACGATTCCTTAAGCTTTAGAGTATGTTTATATGTTGCTTAAGCAGAGGAAACAAACTCTGAAGTGAGGGAAGACTTGCGGAGTCTATATGGGAAGGGTAGTGTGGGAAAAGACAGTGGTTAGAGCTCGGGAGCCAGCAGCCTACCAGAAATTCCAGCTCTACCACTAATCTGTCCTGTGTCACTGAGCAAGTGATTTAAACTCGTGGTGCCTCAGTTTCTTCACCTGTTGAATGGGATAATAATAGGACCTACCATGGTTTGGGGGACATCTGACGGCATTGGCTTACATAAGAGCACTAATGCAGTGCATGTAGGGAGAGTGATGTAAATGTTAACTCTGTTTATATTATGCCCTTTTGTGAAAGTAGCTGAAACAGTCAAATCCAACTCCTACAAGCCTTTGAATTCCGGTGTCAGTTTCCTCCCCTCCACACCCAGCAAGCCTGCCCTGACCACCACCAGGGTGCACACACCAGCCTCCACCACACATATCTTCCTTCTCTCCCCAGGGCCTTCCCACATGCTGGGTCCTCTACATGCACCTTTCTACTCCTCCCTCCCCCAGAATCGGGTCTGACCAGTTTCTTGTCCTTCCAGCCCCAGCCTCAGGGAGGCCTTCCTTGATGACCTTTCTTTTAAAAAAAAAAAAAAATTTTATTTGTTTATTTATTTATCTGACTGTGCTGGGTCTTAGTTGCGACATGTGGAATCTAGTTCCCTGACCAGGAATCGAATCCCCAGGTCCCGTGCATTAGGAGCTCAGAGTCTTAGCCACTGGATCACCAGGGAGATCCCTGATGACTTTTCCTAAAGCATCCGCCAGCCCTAAGCACATCACCCTATACCCGGTTCATGAGTTTTCTCATCTACCCAAGTCACATCAACTTGGTGAGGGCAGGGGTCTTCTATCTTATTCATCTGTGTGGAACAGGGGCTGGTATGCAGCATGTGCTTGATTTATGTTTGTTGGAGGAATGAATGAATAAATCATTCAATGGATGAATCAGTGAATCCTGGGCAAAGCCTGGCCACTGCCTGCATTTTTGACCCAGACAATGAAGTGAATCTGTGCAAGTGAGGCAGCCCTCCTGGGAATCCTCACCCATCACAGTCCAGGTTGTCATCCAGGCCATCCCCTTCTGCAACCACAAGAGTGTGAGCCAAGATGGGTGTGTTCTCAGCCCACCTCACTTAATTCTTAAAGCTCTTGTAACAAATGAATGAATGGGTTGATCCAGCATGAAGAGGTGGCGCAGTGGTGATGAATCCTCCTGCCAAAGCAGGAGATGCAGGTTCTATCCTTGGATCAGGAGGATCTCCTGGAGGAGGAAATGGCAATCCACTCCACTTCTTACCTGGAGAATCCCATGGACAGAGGAGCTTCAGTCCATGGGGTCGCCAAGAGTTGGACACAACTTAGCAGACACGCACAAACATGAAGGAAGACCTCAGGCCTCCTCCCTGGGGTCCTGCAGAGTCTTGGGCAGTGTGGAGATGAGACTGTAAGGGGTCTGGTTGCACCCAGGGGGTGGGGGAGGAAGAGGGCCAGGCAAAGGGCATCTCACATAAATCCCCCCTCACTGGGGAGGAAGCGCAGCTCCTCATCAAACAGCACCTGAAAGCCGGGCCTGGACAAGGGCAGAGCGACGAACACGGGCCAGGACACCGACCGGAGGTGTTGGCAGCCCCTCCCGCTGGAGTCAGCGGCCATCTGGCCTGGACAGAGGGGCCTCCGCAGGCTCTGGCACCCCTCTCAGCCGAGGCTGCCTCCCCGCTGCCAACCTGCGTCACTGGACCTGCCAAGGGTAGTCTGCACCCCTCTGCCAGGCCCAATGGGGAAGGCTGGCAGAGCGGAGGGCTCTTGGTCCCTCTCACCACCTAGACTGGGGGGGTGGGCAAGAGAGTTCCTCTGTACCGGGAACTTGCAGTCAGAGCTGCTCTGAGGATGCTGG